CTGAGCCCCCCAAAAACTCTACTGGGAACAGAATTGTCTCAGGGAAGGCAAGGGTTTCACCAATTAATCTGGTTAAGGCTGAATTATTTACCTAAGGAAATAGCTTTCAAATATTTGCCCAATTTCCCTACATATTGAGCTCAAGCATCTACAACCTTCTTTCCACTCTTTTTTTTTTTTTAACTTTTTTCCCTCTGCAACTACTTTTTTTGTTTCATTTCTCCTTCTCTCCCTCATTGTCCTCTTCTGATATAATGAAGTTGAATTTTAGGCAAGGAAAGTAAATGCTTGGTATTAGTTTATTCCATATGCTGTGACTAGGAGATGTCCTCAAAACCATCTTCCCTTGAGGGGCCTCAGGTGGTCCTACAACAGCATGACCAGCAGGAATCAGTGCTGCTTATAAACACCGTCTGACCATTTTTCTTCTGTCATCAGGTGATGACAGAAGCCAACAGGACGATTTGTTGTTCTCTGCTGCCACATCCTCAGCTGTTTTTGTGGATGGAAAATGGAACACCAAGTGTTGAAAAAGAAAATTATTACTGACATTTACAGAACAAGGGGCAACCTCATAATAACCTTGAAACCACAAGAATCATTTCCTATGAGTTTAACAGAAGGACATTGACTCGACTTTTAAGTTGCTTTTTAGATATTCTTTCTATCCTGTTAGTTGCATGGCCTGTTGCAATGGCCCAGAATTAGCCTGCAGATATCATAAAGGTGCCTCATTTGGCCATGTATATAGTATACAATATATTTATTGGTTATTTGCTGATGCTCTCATTCCTCTACTAGACTCTTCCAGGAAATGGTTCAAGTCTTGCTTCTCTTTGAATCTTTAGTCTAGTTCCTGGCAAACCATAAATCTTGATTTGAATTCAATTAAAATTACAGGTAATCTAAGGTGAACTATGAAGTTGACTCACAAGTATATATTTTTTAAAATAATGAGTAACTAATTGGCTTATTTTTTTCATTTTTTTTTTTTTGCTTTTTACTCTAGAGAAGCTGACATCTGCCCTACCCAGAAAGCATGATGTTTATTTTCACTTCCTGTCTTTCTCTCATATTTTCACCCCTATAGAACAGACTCTAAGGCATTTTACAATTGTGAGTTATCTATATTATTTATAAAGTAATTTTGCAAAGGAGAATGCTCTCTATATATTCTCAAATGTAAGGTAATCTATATGATCTTTTTATTGTTTTACTTTTTTTAAAAAAATTTTTTATTGGATTTTAGGTTTTGGGGTACATGAGCAGAGCATGCAAGACAGTTGCGTAGGTACACACATGGCAGTGTGCTTTGCTTTCCTTCTCCCCTTCACCCACATTTGGCATTTCTCCCCAGGCTATCCCTCCCCACATCCCCCTCCCACTGGCCCTCCCCTTTTCCCCCCAGTAGACCCCAGTGTTTAGTACTCCCCTCCCTGTGTCCAGGGGTTCTCATTTTTCATCACCCGCCTATGAGTGAGAATACGCAGTGTTTCATTTTCTGTTCTTGTGTCAGTTTGCTGAGGATGATGTTCTCCAGATTCATCCATGTCCCTACAAACGACACGAACTCATCATTTCTGATTGCTGCATAATATTCCATGGTGTATATGTGCCACATTTTTCCAATCCAGTCTATTATCAACGGGCATTTGGGTTGATTCCAGGTCTTTGCTATTGTAAACAGTGCTGCAATGAACATTCGTGTACATGTGTCCTTATAGTAGAACGATTTATAGTCCTTTGGATATATACCCAGTAATGGGATTGCTGGGTCAAATGGAATTTCTATTTCTAAGGCCTTGAGGAATCGCCACACTGTCTTCCACAATGGCTGAACTAATTTACACTCCCACCAACAGTGTAAAAGTGTTCCTTTTTCTCCACATCCTCTCCAGCATCTATTGTTTGACTTTTTTATGAGATCAGTAAGATGGTAGTGAAGAGGTAAATTTTGATGTTCGTTATATTTAGTCACAAACCTCTATGATGAAAATATTCTGTAGCAGATTAAATGTAGCAAAATGTAGCAGATTAAAATAATAAACATTTATTATCTCACAGTTTCTAAGAGTTAGCAATCCAGGAATTAGACAAGTATTTCTGGTATAGAGGTTCACATTAAGATAGTCAAGATGGTCACCAAGACTGAAGTCATCTGAAGGCTTGGCTGGGGGCTGGAGAATCTGCTTCACTACAGTGCTCACTCTCTGCCCCAAGAATGCTCACTTACTGTGGCTGGAAGCCTCAATTCTTTGCTGGATGTTGACCAAAGGCCCCAGTTCCCCAGTATCATGACATGGCAGCTAACTTCCCTCATAGCAAGGGATCCAAGAGAGAAAAAGAAAGAGAATGGTGGGGGGAGAGAGAGAAAGCGAGAGAAAGAGAGAGGGGCCATAACCACAGTGCCTTATATGATCTAGTCTTCAGAACTACACTGCCATTTCTGCCACATTTTATTCATTAAATATAAGTCACCAAGCACAGCCCGCACTCAAAGGAAAATAATTAAGTTCCACCTGTTGAAAGGAGGAATAGCTAAGAATATGTGCACATATTTTAACTCTACCACCATGGGTTTATCACTTTAACTGAACAAACACTTCTTTCTAAAAGAAACATTCTACCAAATGTAGTTTTTAATAATTATTTATATTCTTAAGACAATGCACAGATAAAAGAATGATTAAAACACATATCTCTGAATAATATGAAACACTATGTTTCTCTTAATAATCAGACCTAACCAGAAACTTACCTCTATTATGACAAGATTCAGAATAATATAGACTTAACTTAAATTAATGGTAATTGATGTATAAATGTCGACAAGTGAAATGGCAAGTACACAGTAGTGTTTAAGTGAGAAATTAGTAGCTGAAGCCGTGAGTGGAGAAAGAGTAGTGATAAGTAAAAATAAGATGAGATAATTATAAGTGGGTCAGATGATATAGATCTTGTAACCTAGGTAAGGACTTTAAATATTACTTTAAGAGATGTTTACCACCACCTGCAGAGGTCTGTCCTACAGAACCTGACTTAAAAATGGTTGAATGAATGCACTCTCACACCATTATAGTGATTCAAGTGGGCTAGGGATGCTTGTCAGCTGCTTTCCAAGGGTGACTGCAGCCAATCGACCAAGACCCCCTGTACATCCACACATGTATTCATAACAGAGGTTCTAAGCCAACACACTTGTGAATAATTAACATGGTCTACAAGTGGTTTTACCAATGTGAAAAGCTTTAGGTTTTGCGCCCAGAGTAAACACTACTAATGGGTAATATCCCTATGATCTCCCCGAGAGGGTCATCCAATCTAAAGTTTACATGAGTAAACAGTTTGAGTAGAGACAAAGGGATGTGGGGTAAACAGACTTAAACTTGGAAAGCCTTTTATCGTCCCTATCTCTTCCCTAGTAATGAACTGGCTGCCTTCAGCCTGTCCCAATAAAACCTTTTGGCCTTCCAAAAGGTTTGAGATTACATCTATCACTTTCTCTAATATTTTCTGGAATATTTTGTCAGCCACCCCAAGTGAATTCCAACAACTTTATGAATGATGGACCCTGAATTGTTTGGGGCAAGGGGTGGCCTAATCTGATGTATTTTTAAAAATCCCTCTTGATGCTATGTGGAAAATTGACTGTAATTGTTTAAATGGAGAAACAGGAAGGCGAGTTAGGAGACTTGCAAAACTCAGGCTTGGACAAGGGTACTAGTTGTATACTTACTAGTCTCCAGTGTAGGTGATTTAAATCTAACTACCTTTTCAGAGTGAAGCCAATAAGATTTGTTGATGGAGTGGATGTGAGTTATAAGAAAAAGTAGTAATATTTTTGACCATAAACACTGAAATATTGGTGATTCCATTTCCTGATATGGGGAAAACTACAGGCAGATCAAGTTTGGAAAGGAAAAGCAAAAGGATGTTGAGAATAAATTAAATTTGATATGCATAATAGAAACATTACCGGTTGGGAATAAACTAGGTTATGATGAAGAACCAATAATCCCAAAGTACCATTGGCTTAGTAAGACAATTTATTACTCACTCTTGCTTCAAATCCACCTGGGTTGGCAGCAGGCGATACTCACTCCGAGAGCCAATCTGATAGAGGCTGTCTGTAGACACCTGAATACCTGATAGAAAGCAAAGCCAGAAACGGGAATATGGCTACCATGCTGCGGCTCTTTAAGGTTGCTCATGAAAATGGCATAAAATACTTCCTGGCTAAAATCATGGATATAAAGTTTCCAAGAAATGCAACTGTACCATGTACCAAAGGTAGGAGAGTATTTGTGAACAACCTTAACAGTCTCCAGAATATCTAAGCAAAATGTTAATTAAGCTGATGGTCACTTGAAATCTGGAATCAAGGAGAGAGGTTGGGCTGGAAATAAATATTTGTGATTGGCTAGCATGTAGACAATATTTAAACTTATGAAACTTATGGGACAGCTGACATCACCAAGGCAGTGAGATACTAAGATTGAGACCTCACAACATCTAAAAGTAGGAAGAGGAATTCAGTGAGGAAGTTGGGTGAGGGGTGATATGGGAAGAGAACCAAAAACACTGAGTATTTGGTTACAAATGCAGGTAACTTTCTAGATTTGTTTGAAAGAAAACGTAGAGATTTTTGTCTGATCATGTCATTTTTTCCTCTGTAAAATAAGAAACAGTTATCAGATGAAAACAAGAATGAGGAAAATGTAGTAAAGCTTAAAGAGAAGAAAAAAGGCCAAGGACCTAGAAACAGAAATTCCATTTGACTTGGCAATCCCATTACTGGGTATATACTCAAAAGGATTATAAATCATTCTGTTATAAAGACACATGCACACATATGTTCACTGCAGCACTGTTTACAATAGCAAAGACCTGGAACCAACCCAAATGCCCATCAACAATAGACTGGACAAAGAAAATGTGGCACATATACACCATGGAATACTATGCAGCCATAATAAATAACGAGTGTGTATCTTTTGCAGGGACCTGGATGAATTTGGAAACCATCATTCTCAGCAAACCGACACAAGAACAGAAAACCAAACACCATATGTTCTCACTCATAGGTAGGTGTTGAACAATTAGAACACATGGACACAGAGTAGGGAGCGTCACACACTGGGGTCTGTTGAGGGAGCTGGGCAAGGAACAGCAAGGGGTGGGGAGATTTAGGGGGAATAACATGTGAAGAAATGCCGGATATAGGTGACAGGGGATGGAGGTAGCAAACCGCATTGCTATATGTGTACCTATGCAACAATCCTGCATGATCTGCTCATGTACCCCAGAACATAAAGTACAATTTTAAAAAAAAGATACACACAATAAAAAGAAAAAAGGTAAGCACTATTTATCCATAAGAGTGGGAGCATGACTACCATGGGGAAATGGAGAGGAATTTTTAGGCAACACAAGGGGCATATTTGAGGTTAGACATCATGGGTTAAAAATCTGTCTGCACAATTAGTCACGTGTTTTTTCTCTCACATGATCACCTGCTCTGGTTCATGTGTAGAGTAGATTAAATGCCATATATTTTTGCATGAGTTTATGTTTGCCAATACACTGTGGAAGGAAAGGAAGAAGTAGTTGAGGGTATACATGAGAAATGATTGTTATGACTACCCATGGAACTTAAACTGGGTAAGCAAGGAAGTGAATATTTGAAGAGAGTTGGGGGCAATGACAAGAAGGGCAGGAGCAATAGTTTGCAGAAAGATCCAGGAGGATTTGAGAAATCCTTGGAATTGAGGCACTAAATAAAGTTAGAAGCATGATTAGAACTCATTATAGACTGGTAAGGTCGAGAGTAATCATGGGAGTGGATGTCTCAGAATGGAGGACAAGATCTTTGGAGGAAAGTCTCAAAGACTTGAAAGCCAATGTATTAGAGGAATCATTCGTGTAATGGAGGATGTCAATGTTGGGAGAGAGGAGCAATTGACAAGAGCACTCAAGGTTCAGTGGGTCCCCTCCTTAATCACAGGACTGGTGGTGCTCAGGCTGGAGGAAGCTTTGTTCTCTTTTAAAGGACAGTAGCGATACACAGGAGAGCAAGTACAGAGGATAAGTTATTCATCTTAACATTTGTCGTGATGAGGGAAATATAGGATATCCAATATGGAGGTATCTCATAGGCAGTTAGATAACAAGGACTGGAGTTAGGAAGGGATAGTTATGATAGTGAAATATATTTGATTATCCATAGCACAGAAATAGCTGTTGTAGCTTTGAAGATGAACAAAGTCAACATGGGAAAATATAGAGACCTGGGGGGAACTATATTTTTCCAAAAATAACTAAAGGAAGAATGCTGAATGGCATGAACATTTCAGTGGTATACAAAAGAAGAGAAAAACTAACAAAACTGATCAGGGAAGGAGAAGTATCAAAAGAGAATAAAAGTTAACCTTGGCTTTTTGGTAGATGATACAAAACTGAAAGGCTAAGGTAAGTTTGAGAGGATAAGGAAACTTTTTAAAAAGTGAAAAGAAACTTGTTTTAAGTACTTAGGAGTAAACCAGTAATAACTGGCTAAATTATTTGAAAGAATCTCACCATCTTTTTTCCTGAATTTTCCTTTATGAAAAGTTAAAGAAAGGTAAAGCAACAAAGCTAAATTATCAACCAATGGTAGGCAAGTGATAAGGCTGGCCTTTTCCCATCATTGTAGCCATGGCTTGTTCCACTTCGAGACTGGGTAGATTTCTGCATGATAGACTATCAATGCTGTGATGAATTTCATCAGATCATATTACTTTAGCAAACAATGATGCCATCATCTACAGCAGAGGACAGCACTAGTGTGTGTTACCTTAAGAATCTTCACAAAGGACTCTGAAATGTCAGTATGAGCAGATGATGAAGTATAGGAATCCATTGCCTGCTGAATTTCTTATTTTATAGAGAAAAGAAATTTCATATGCTGTAATATGTTTTCAATTGTAAATTAAAACCTAATAGACTTTAGTTTCAGATGTGTATGGGAATGTTTAAACATTGATGTATTTTAATGAAGGTATGCAAATACTGTTAGAGGCTAAGATGCTAAAAACAGCTTGTTCCAAGTTTGTAAGCCCCATATTTCTAAGGTTTCATATTTGTATCTTAAACTTTCACATATTTAAAGTTTACTAAAACTGTCCTTTTGGAATCCCTGTTAAGAGGTAGTTTTAGGTTATATAAACAAAAATGGTTTTAATTTGCAGTCAACCCTAATATATCTGGAAAAATCCTGTAAATTCTTCAGTAAGTCTCCAGACAACCACATGAGTTTAAGTTCATGTTAGGATACTAATTATGCTAAATTTATTCTTAAATAAGAAAACATGGCCTGAAAATTTACCATCTAAACCATGGTAATTGAGTTCCCAATAAAAAACATTAACTTTTATTGTTAATGTATTAAGAACACATCTTTAATGAAAGATTAATACCATACATTAAAATGTTAACGTTAGTCACCACATGCACATGTAGAAACAATTCAGCGAGTCAGTGGCATTTATACTTGGTAGGTATAATATTTCTTAAAGTAATTCAGTCAATGAAAATTATTTACATTTTAAACTCCTGGAAGGCAGTGTTTTTAAGCATCTGAAAAAAAAAATGAACTAATTTTTATTGACACATGGAAACTGAGCAATCCTTCTTTCCTTGTTTTTAATCACTGTTTTCTTTGCTCAAGAGAATTATTTGACCCTGGATTTTGCTCAGTTTCTGAGTAGATTCTCAATATGTAAGCATTTTCCTTACAATTAAACTGATTTTTTTGAGAGTAAATTTCTTGGAGTCTGCAGATTTTCTTCTGCAAAGTCACAAGACACTCGATTCAGATTCCCTTTTTACTGAATTTTGATGAAAAACAAAACATTTTTATGTGGAGACTTCAACTAAGCTGTATCTACAATACAGTTTTACTAAAAATTGTATTCTAGAGGACAATATTATTCTTGATTAACATATACAGCTGTCTGATTAGGCTGGTTTCTTAAAGTCAGGCTTCTCTTTGGTAAGAGACAGCAAGAGAGACATTTTCAGTGTACTGCACAGTTAAAATGGGTAGAAGGAGGATACACAAGAAGCAGGAAACCCTGAATTTTGGGTCAATATAATGACACAAAAGCGATTCCACATGCACTTCTTTAGTAGTTCCAGAAATGCTCTGCTATTTATAGGGTGGAGTTGTAATTACTGCCCCTTAACTTGAAGATTTTTTTACCTTGACCTGTTACTGGTTTAACGATGCTTCTTTGATCATATCCTCCATGCATCATGGCTAACCTTTGTCCTTCAAGTAGTTGACAGAGCTTTGCGGCAACATTTCTCACTTTATAATGTATTTATCTGCTTTTATGTTTATCATCCTGCCAGACTGTATTTCTCAAGAAGAAGTGTTACTCATTTTGTATACCCAGTTCCTAACAGGGTTTACACCAAGAAGCATCTTCATAAATGCCTATAGAAAAGAATGTATTAATACAAACAAAAATAGTGCATATGAAAGAAAGAAAGAAAAAGCATATAAACACATATACACAAATACACATAAAACATTCATATATGCACTCATAACACAGTGATATATATGAATATATTCATAACCAGATATCAAAGTTCAAAACTTTCTGACTCAGTTAATGAGGCCTTAAGACAATAGCAGCCATAAGAAGGAATGAGATCATGTCCTTTGCAGGGGCAATAGATGAAGGTGGAAGTCATCATCCTTAGCAAACTAACATAGGAACAAAAAGCCAAACACCGTATGTTCTCACAAGTGACAGTTCAACATTCAGAACACAGGGACACAGAGAGGGGAACCACACACATCAGTGCCCATTGGAGGGTGGGAGGTGAGGGAGGGAATTTAGAAGATAGGTCAGTAGGTGCAGCAAACCACCGTGGCACACATATACCTATGTAACAAACCTGCACATTCTGTATACCTATCCCCCCTTTTCTTAGAATAAAGAAAAACAATGATGTATGTTTGTGAGAGAAAAATTACATATGCTTTTGCTTTATTTTATGTACTCAGTTAACAGTACCAATGCCTAGTGTATAATATTGCATTTTAATGATTTTTTTGAATTCATGGAATATAAAAGTTTAATAAAGAAAGTGAAAAGCTACCCATCCTAAACGTAAAAATCTCTGCTGCATTTTGGAAAATCACCCTCTCAGCATTTCTTTGTGCATTTATTCATATGATACCTGTGTTTTATATCACATCTAGGAGTGAAATTTTATCAACTATATACACATTCTATTTATGCCATTTTTTGAATGATGTTAGAGGACACATCCAATTTTTTCAATAAACAAGATGTGAAGTCCAAGTCATTTATATTTATGAAACAGGGCTGGCCCTAGGCAAAACTGTAAAATAGACAAACATCTATTTAATTTTTCAGCCTCTCTCTCATTTCCTCCTGTCTCAGCTGCCACATTCATGTAAATCTACTGTCAGAAAAAAATCTAATGTAGACACTGTTTTGTTGTTGTTGTAAAAAAAAAAAAAAGTTATGTCAATACTCTTCACAGGATAACAATAAAATGCCTCTTCCACTCCTTCATTTTCTTGAATCTTCAACACTTCTCATTGCCCACCTCTTTTTTTTAATTTCAAATTACATGCACTTAATGTTTCTTACCAGTTAGTCTTTAAAGATGAGAATATCAGTTTCAGCCTATGAACTTCTTAAGAAGAATGTCATTTTAAAAATCACATGCCAGGCTGGGCACGGTGGCTCATGCCTGTAATTCCAGCATTTTGGGAGGCTGAGGTGGGTGGATCACCTGAGGTCAGGAGTCCAAGGCAAGCCTGGCTAACATAGTGAAACCCCATCTCTACTAAAAGAAAAAATAGTACAAAATTAGCTGAGCATGGTGGCAGTTGCTTCTAATCCCCTATAATCCCAGCTACTCGGGAGACTGAGGCAGGAGAATCACTTGAACCCAGGAGGTGGAGGTTGCAGTGAGCCAAGATGATGCCATTGTATTCCAGCCTGGCCAAAAAGAGCAAAACTTCATCTCAAAAAAAAAAAAATCACATTCTGAAATGCCT